TTTGTTATTAACACGCAGCTCGAGGGCCTGGACGACGAAAACAAGGCATTTCTCTAAATTTAAACTCTTGTAAAATAATGAATACACAATACAGACGCGCTCCCATGTTCCACTTGTAACGCACTTCAAACGCACAAAGAAAACAGATGCGTTTCCGTGTTTCCCCCTGGGGTAAAAGTAAGACAAATGCCTTTCATGACATGTTTTATTCATGTGCGACAGCGAAATTGGTTAAATAATGACGTTTCCATGACGGAGCCCCGGTTGTAAATTTGCAATCGCGCTCGCAGGTACAGTTCGGGTCGCGTGTGTAATGTTACTTACGCCGCAGTGCCGTGTGCAGAGGTGTGAGTGATGGGTATCGGAGTTGCGTTCGCGTTGGTATCAGTTACGGCTGAAGGAGCGCTCGGGTCCGTCTCCCGGCGAGAGGCAGACGGCGGCGTTTTACAAGTAATCGGCAAAAATGAATCAATGTTCCCGGATCAATACAGTTGGGTCATTGTTATTTTAGATGATAACTGGGCAATATGACAAGAAAAATAAAACACTCTTATTGATTTTAAAATGGTTTTCACAATACATTTCGCAATACAGCCATGTAACATAAAATTGTAGTTACATTTCTGGCATTTCTTCAGAGATTCTTGGTCAGGACCCAAGAGTATAAGAGCTTAAATGTACACTAATTGAATTTTGATCACAATTTTGATTTGTGATTCAAACAATTTCCAAACTCATATAATCGAGCTGAAACAAGTTTATTTTGGGATATTTTTTATATAAATAAGTTTATTTATTTTAAGAGATTGTAGAACAGCTGGATATCAAAGTACATTTTATTCATGTTTTATACATTGCAAATCTGTTCTAAGGTACATATCTGTATCCTATATTTATTTTCTATTTGACAGTTGTGTGTAAATTATCAATAACAAAGGTTTTTTTTTTAGAGAGACATGCTGTATAAAAGCATTGTGTCACAAAAAAAAAAAAAAATTTGAATAATCGTGATTTCAATATTGACCAAAATAATCGTGGTAATGATTTTCTCCATAATCGAGCAGCCCTAGATCAGTCTGCTTGTCCCCATGGAGATTTTTACTTGAATGACATTAAGCCTAACTATCTTAGATTTATTTAGGTTTTTTATTGCTCAAAAACACATTGAAAATGCCTTAAAAAACATGTATAAACACACTGGTGACATCACTCACTACTTAAAACCACAGTATATAACATTTTAGCCCCCCCCCCCCCCCCCCCCCCCCCAAAAAAAATTATATAAAAAAAAAAATAATATATATATATATATATTTAAAAAAAATTTATATAAATAAAATAAAACAAGAACTTGGTTGTGTTGTTGTTGTTTTTGTTGTTGTTTTTATTGCACTAAAAGACTTAAATAAAAATTAAAATAAAATGTTGTTAGTGTGAGTTTGCTTGCATCTCCACAAACCTGATTCTTACTTGGCCTGCCTGTTTCCATGGAAATGTTGTTCCTTTGGCTATAATCTTGCCTCTTGTACATTGCCTTATCTTCTGGGAGACGCCTGTGTCATTTCTAATCAAGAAAAAACGAACTTTACAGGATTTTGTGTGTTAAACGTGTGAATGAAACAAAACACAACTTCAGGTATGTTTAGGTTGAGGAAACATGTTAATATAGCTCAAAAATCTATTTAATATGGACCCTTTAAAGTTTTTTTTGTTCCATAGTTGTAATAGTCAATCCAGTCAAATGAAGCTCATTGATGTTCACAGTTATAGGAGCAAATTTGGAGATGAGTTCCATATTAGGAATAGGTATTTATTAATGGATATCCGAGTCTTACAATACGATATTTACTGCGATATTGTGGGAAAGCTCACGATATTGTGGGGAGGCTCTTAACAATATCCAAATCTCTCTTCTGTACAATATTTTCACAATATACATCTCACGGTACGATATTTATTGCAATATTTTGTGGAGGCTAAACAGCTAAAACTGTTAATATGTGACTTTTTCCTCTTAAAACACTTTGACAAGACTTAATCCAAAGAACTAAGACTTAAAAGTGCTTAGAACTGTTATTTCTTCTTGTAGTCTGCACTGAAATGGAGCAAAGGATCATGGTCTATGTAGTTCTCTCTTTTTTTTTAGCTATTGCTGCACCATAACTCTCAATTTAAGCAAAGAGACTGTGATTCAATATATTGTGATGGTCCAGGATATTATTGTGAGAACTCTGACGATGTGTTATCACGATATTTCGGTTATTGAATAAAAGTATCTTTAAGTCAAAATTTGTCAGGGGTATGAATAATTTTGGGCTTGACTGTTGCCTATCCACTCTGAGTCACACGGCCAGTCTGGTAAAGGCAGGACTGAACTGAAGTCAAACTGGCCCTGTGTCGGCTGTAAACGTCGTTCTCTGTGTGGTGTCGCTGCCCTAATCATGATATTTTTGTTAAATAAATACAACCACTGCTGGGGGTGGCGGCATAGGCTGTTTTCTATACAGACGTAGGCTAGTTATATCTGCATTTATTTGGAACCGGCGGGTATTTATCAAAATATACACCTGCACCCGGCGTTTAATTGAAACCCAGCTATTATTTGATATTTTACGGTACATACATACATAAATACATAAATAAATACACACAATCAAATAAAAGAAGAACTAATTAATGAATTAACTGCTACAATTTGATCTGGAAGTTCAAATAAATGCTTAAGTAAATGCTGCCAGACTGTATTCAGAATAGCAGTGAGCGGGGTTGTCTCTTCATATGTTTAGCTTAAGGTGTGAAAAAGTCTTGTCAAATTCAAATATTCTAAATGAGTCAGTGGTAAAAGCTCCCGTGCACAAATGGAGCAGAGTGTGTAGTGTTGCCACGAGCGCTGCCTGGTGCCGTCATCAGGGAGACATTTTCCGAGGATCCAAATTGAAGTTTAAATTAGGTTTAAGCTTTGGGAACATTTGGGATTGTTGCACTGAGAGAAAGAGCTTTTTGATTAAAAAGAACGCCGCGGTCACGTTTTAGAACAGTCTGTTTCCGCACAATTGTTTATCTCAACCTTTTAAACCCCAACTGCTCTTATACTTCATTTCTGTTATACAAATAGCATTTTTTTTGTTTGTTGAAAGGCGCTGTATTTGATTTTTAAAACATGAAAAATAGAACAAATTCATTTTAAACAGTTTGCAGTGGTCCAAAGTTAATTCCTCACTTACCTTATGTATCCAGAGCATCGTAGTTAGTCAACGTGGTGAGATTACAGATGCTTTTCTTCACAATTTTAAGATATCAGAACAGAGTTTTGCAGTGACATTAAAGATAACATGAACTCGCATGCTGCTTATGCTTTATATCTGCACTGGGGCAAGGATTCCATTGATAAAACTACGTGTATTATTAAAAGTGGTTATTCTAGTTTCTCAAAAATTTTTGCTACGTTCAGACTGCAGGGCTTAATGCTCAATTCAGATTTTTTTGTGAAATTTTTTGTGAAAAGCTTGCGAACACAGAAACAAATCTGGACGCAAATCGTTTCCGAGACGGTGATACAGTGATTCGTTTCAGTGTAAACATAGTCTAAGGCTACGTTCAAACTGCAGGGCTTAATGCTCACTTTGGATTTTTTTGTGAAATCCGATTTATTTTTTGCGAGGTCGTTCACATTTCCAATTAAATGAGACTTGTACATGATCTCCAGTGTGAACTTTAAACGCCCCAGAAGTGTCCCGCATGCTCATTGGAGAAAACGATGACATCACACGTAGCGAGCAAACTCAGTGTGTCTGGAAGTCACCTAAGCCTTCAGTAGTGCTCCGTCTGAAACAATCCACGTCTCAATAACTATTTTATGGTTATAAAAGCCATTGTATTATACAAGTACAGAAGTACAATATAAAGAGCCGTTGCATCGCAGATAGATAACTCCTGTAGCCACAGAAGTGGGCGTGGTACGCGGGCTTATGCCATCCACCCACTTCTCCCGATGTGAGATATAAAAAAATAACAAATATAAAATTAGTTCAACTTAAATGTCAAACTGGAGTGATTGGCAATGGTGAAAACAACCTGCATGTGCTCATGATCTCTGCAGTACTGTCCTATAGTGACCTGAGACATTAGGGGACCGGGACTGAACCGGCCTCACAGAGCAAAGCACAACCGTCCCCCAGATTGTGGACACTCTGCTTTACTGTATATTATTTAATAATTGTAATAATATAATTAACATCAGTCTGTGATTCAGATATTTTTTTAGGCCAGCAGAGAAGGCCTTGCATGCCCTGACGCCCCACCACTGCCTAAACCTGAGGTGTCCAAACTTTTTTCATCAAGGGCCACATATCTAAACGCAGATGAAGCAGAGGGCTGATCGAGGGCCGTGGACTGACGCTCAGTACAGTGAATAATTGAAATATGTGCATGTTTAAACACGTTAGAATGAGCCATTAGTCTTTATTCAGGCTAAGATCCTTAAAACAACACACTAAATATTAAATATTAGCTTTATCAAGGTAGATTAAAAAAAAAAAAACTGCAGTAAGAAGTAATTAATTACATTTTTAGTTGCTGCAAGGTAATTTAGGCCAATTCACCTGGAAGAAAAATGTGTCTGAGGGCCATAGTTTGGACATGCCTGGCCTAAACGCTTGGTTTGTCTCCCAAAATACGGTCCAGTTCTTTGTAAAATTACACGTCCAATGCCGCTTTGTTTGTTTGAGTCTTTAGCCTTCTTGTATTTGGCTCACAGGCTCTTTATTTTTTGTTGACATTGGAGCCAGTTTTTTGGCAATCATTTCAAAAACCGCCCAGTTCCTATAAGACCCCTCCAGTTTGGCCTGAATACAGCGATCCCCCCAAATATGAATTCACTTTAATATTATAACTACTTCCTGACAACCTTGATACATATTTTCATGAAAACTCCTCACCTGTATTTGACCAGTTATTTTTATTTATTTGTGTATTCACTTTCTGCTTTTTCTCTTCCGCAGCTTCACTCCAACTCGGATAAGGGCGATGGGTCTGTCAGGTACATTCTGAGCGGAGAAGGAGCCGGGACTATTTTTATCATCGACGAGGTGACTGGAGATATTCACGCCACCAAGAGTCTGGATCGAGAGCGGAAATCGCACTACGTCCTGCACGCGCAAGCCCTGGACCGCAACACGGAGGACGCCCTCGAACCCAAGTCGGAATTCATCATCAAAGTTCAGGATATCAATGACAACGCTCCCAAATTCCCAGACGGGCCCTTCGTAGCAGACGTGCCGGAGATGTCGGAAGTGGGTGAGTAATGGAAAAAACACTACAGGACATGTTTTCATTGTTGGTTTTGATGGATGTTTTGAGTTGAAGCTAAAATGGGATTGTTGTGAGGTTTAAGACATGTTATAATGTTGTTACCTCCTCAAAAACAGACCTGGATTTGTGTTTTGTTCATTCGCACATGTTTGAGTAACACTTTATTATTAGCCCGTCTGTATCTCCAAAGCTCAAAATGCTCCTTTCAACAGCTCCTTTTACCTTTAGTTCAGTAGAAATAGGTAAGCCCAGGGCTGATATTGTCTAAAATGATTATAACAAAGGTGCATGGAGTTTAAAAACACAGTGAAGCACCTCCAGTATTACCACATGACATCACAAGGTGGCATGTTTTCAGTTTCAGAGAAGAACTTTACAGGATTTTGTGTGTTAAACATGTGTGAATGAAACAAAACACAACTTCAGGTATGTTTAGGTTGAGGAAACATGTTAATATAGCTCAAAAATCTATTTAATATGGACCCTTTAAAGTTTTTTTTTGTTCCATAGTTGTAATAGTCAATCCAGTCAAATGAAGCTCATTGATGTTCACAGTTATAGGAGCAAATTTGGAGATGAGTTCCATATTAGGAATAGGTATTTATTAATGGATATCCGAGTCTTACAATACGATATTTACTGCGATATTGTGGGAAAGCTCACGATATTGTGGGGAGGCTCTTAACGATATCCAAATCTCTCTCTGTACAATATTTTCACAATATACATCTCACGGTACGATATTTATTGCAATATTTTGTGGAGGCTAAACAGCTAAAACTGTTAATATGTGACTTTTTCCTCTTAAAACACTTTGACAAGACTTAATCCAAAGAACTAAGACTTAAAAGTGCTTAGAACTGTTATTTCTTCTTGTAGTCTGCACTGAAATGGAGCAAAGGATCATGGTCTATGTAGTTCTCTCTCTTTTTTTTTAGCTATTGCTGCACCATAACTCTCAATTTAAGCAAAGAGACTGTGATTCAATATATTGTGATGGTCCACGATATTATTGTGAGAACTCTGACGATGTGTTATCACGATATTTCGGTTATTGTTACATCCCTTTTAACGGACAAAGTAGAGAAATAAAAATGGTCAGTAATGTGCAATCTTAGGCTACGTTTGCACTGAAACTAATCACCGTATCTAAAAACGATCTGCATCCAGGCACATCGTTTCTGTGTCCGCAAGTCTTCTCTATCCACACAGCTTTGAGCATATTTGTTTACGTTTTACAGAAATGAAACTTAAAACCACATGGCAAATTTGCATAAACTGAGCGCTCAAAAAACATCTCGCTATTGTGCGCTGATGTGGTTCAGGTTCTGTCGGACTAAAGGACACGACTCAGTGGAACATGAGTGTTTTTTCTGTGACAGAGGGGTGTTCTGCTGATGGTGAGTCTGTTTTGTGTTTCTATCATGTTGGAGATGGTTCATGTGAAACTTTTCAGAGATTATACGTCTGCAGGTCGTACACACAGACCGTATATATGAATGGACATATATTCTAGCCTCTTAGCGTTTTGGTCTCGCGGCGCATAGACCTACATCAGAGTATCAGCATTTTCAGGTGTCCACACGGTGCCGGATCAGATCTGTACTCAAATTAATTCGGGGGAGCTGACGGCACCAGATCGTTCCGTCTCTGGAGCCGTTTTCAATCGGATTAATGTGGACGAAAACTGAATCCGCAACGAAAACGACTCGAATACCTACTACTACTAGCGTGGACGGGGCCTTAGAGAGTTACGCTGTGTTGGTTTAATCTTACAACTGATACTTTGCAGTGGCATCATGATGGGGGTGTGCTACATGTAGTTATCATGGTGACAAAGTGCGCACATTAGCAAAACACTGCCAAAAAGAGAGTTTTATGACACTCAGAAAAGCCAATAAAAGTGCAAAATAGCTTTAAACAGTACATTTTCAGGAGTCTGTGATCAATACGAGTGTTCATGGTTCTATTTCGGTGTTTGATTTCCAACAAAAAAGGTGAGAGTGACTAACTGAGAAACTGAAATTCTGTATGTGAGAGACGTGTTTAACAGCATTTCACCTGTTATAGTTCCAAATACGTCAGTTCTCTCGGGTCAAATTGTGTTAAAATGAAGCTCAGATTAAAGTCTAATTTGACTTACAGCCTTTCAGAGTGAGTAGTCCCTCCAGTGAAATACTCCAATGCATCGTATCCTCGGGCAAGACACTTTGACTTGCGTTTCGTGTGCGGCGTGTGCACGATCGATTGCTTCACAGAGCGCTAAGTATGACACCCACTTCTATGGATCATTTTCCACAGTCCATATATATCGACTTTTCAAACGCAAAGCTAAACATTAAGTCCGGTTGAACAAATCTCCCAGCTCCCGTCGCCTGTCGCCTGTTTGACTCATCATCATGTTTTGTAAGGCTGTGAATTTTTTTCCATTCTACACCAGTTTAAAGGTACTCAAAATGTACTCTTGTGAAGTTTGAGCCATATTGTAATGCTGTTACTTCATCAAAAACAGACCAGGAGTTGTGTTTAGTTTCATTCACACATGTTTGAGTAATCCTGGTTTATTAGTCTGTCTACATCTGCAAAGCTCAAAATGCTCTGTTCCACCTTGTGATGTCATGAAGCGGTAGTTTTTAAGTTAAAAGCTACATTTTACCTTTAGTTCAGTAGAGATTGGCGATTCTAGGTCTGAAATCATTTGACACCAGTCTCTTGCTATTTTTGCTACTTATTTTGAATTTATTATTACCATTTATATATTTTTTCTCTTTGTTATTACTTTGTTACTGTGATGTGTGAGCGAATGTGTCCAAATAATTTCCCTTGTGGATCAATGAAGTTTGTATAAGTCTAAGTTTAAATGATGATTATAGTGAAGGTGCGTGGAGTTCAAAATCACAGTGGATCACATAGGCTGCGTTCAGACTGCAGCCTGAAGTGACCCAAATCCGATTTTTTTGGCCCCTATGTGACCTGTATCTGATCTTTTAATGACAGTCTGAACGACACAGATCAGATTTTTTCAAATGTGACCCAAGCCACTTGGATATGTGGTCCTGAAACCGATACATATCTGATCTTTTCACATGCGACTTCAGTCTGAACGGCTAAAGCGCATTCATCCGACTTACACGTTATCAACAAGCCACAAACGTCACTATTCTGTGCTGAAGTAGGCGAAAATTGTTAATGAACTCCGTGTCACTGAAGTGAAGCACATCGCCACTCACCACTCTTGGTTACGTCTCCACATCCACACGTTCCTTTCAACGGACGTCTCTGCCGTTGCCCCACAAAACACCACAACCAAAAACCTCGTCCTTCTCCTTCTCAATCTCCTCCTTAAAACATGTAAGTTGTTCATGTTCTGGCTCCGGTACGAGAGGAACTTTAAAATCTCCAGCTACTCAATGCTCGCATCCATGTTTGGACAACTTCCGTAAACACAGAGACGCTCGCTGCGGTTGACCTCGTCCTGTCCCTCCAGTGTCACATGCGGGACACTTTCGGGCCGTTTACTGTTCACACTGGAGTCACATACAAGTCACATTTAATTGAAAATGTGAACGACCTTGCAAAAACATCGGATTTCACAAAAAAATCGGAATTGAGCATTAAGCCCTGCAGCCTGAACGTAGAAATAGTGTATTGCCACTAGGGGAAGGACATTAATTACAATTAATTAATTACAAAGAAAACAATGCATTAAAAACATGAACACATTTTATCGCAGTTTGCAAGTCAAACAACATGGAAAGTTTTTCAGTGCACCGTGTCATGTGACGCCAATCATACTGACACACACAGTTCCGACTACAACAACAATAAAGCATGAACACGCGCTGGGTCTGCTGGACGGTAAATTTCTATTTAAAAAAAACTACCCGATGGAAGTATTGACAAAGGCGGCGTTTTACTGCGAACTGTGCAGAGAAGAGTTTCCACCTCAAGAAACACAGCACAGAAACAAAACCTTAACCCTAACTAGGGCCGTGCAAAATGATTGAAATATTGAAATATCGATATACCATATTGTTTAATGTGATGATACAGTATCGATATTGTGGGCTGTTGTATCGAAAATTATTTTGTTACAACGCTACAATTTGGTTACTTGGTCAGAGGAAGGAAACTCATTTCTGCGACACATTTGACATTTTCACTGTTTTGATGATTAAAATGTTTGTGTTTCATATGAACTTTGCACAAGAAGTGGTTCAACGAAGACTTTTATTATCACAAATTTTATTTATTGAACCGTATTGAATCGATTTGAAATATATTGTATTGAACCAAAACTGTATCGACTGAACATGTATTGAACTGTGTCGAGACATGTATCGTATCGTGGCCTGTGCATCAAGGTATGTATCGTATCGGCAACTTCTTAATGATACCCAGCCCTAAACCCTATGTTCAGAATGTCGCAACTTAAAGAAAAACGGCACTTTAACTTTAGTCTCTTCAGGTTTGGACAGGGCCCTTACCTTTGTCTGCTATTTTGAAATGAAATGCAATTCATTTTTCCAGATATTGAAAGAACTCGAGTTTAAAAGTCATGTTTGTCTGTATTATTTGATAAAGTTGTCAATGTTTTACAAAGCCTGTCATTAATTAGATTTTACTTTTATTTTTATAATCAAGTCCCACCCCTAATTGCCACTAAGAAGCCTAAACATTCAGGATTTGTGCGTTAAACTTGTGAATGAAACAAAACACAACTCCAGGTCTGTTTGTGATAAGTAAACATTATAACACAGATCAGAAAACACCCGCCGTAACAGTCTCCAAACTGCCCCGAATCCCGTCTCCTCTCCCTCCTCTGATCTTTGTCATTCAGCGACCATCTTGTTTTCAATTTCTCTTTTCTGTTGCCTTTTGAGTGCACGAAGCCGCCCTTTTTTTCTCTTCTCCACTGGCCCGGACCTCAAAGCACAATGGTTTGAGGAGAGCGCTGTTCAGATACTCTCACTGTACTTCTTCAA